TGATAGATAAATAGATGGATATATATTTGATAGATAGATGATGAATTGATTGAGATAGATAGATATTGTGATAGATAGATAGATGGATAGATAGATAGATGGATAGATAGATGGATAGTATATTGATAGATAGATATGAACATATTGTGATAGATAGATGGATATGAGTATATTGTGATAGATATGAACAGATTGAGATAGATATGAGTATATTGTGATAGATAGATATAAGCATATTGTGATAGATAGATGGATATGAGTATATTGTGATAGATAGATAGATAGATAGATAGATAGATAGATAGATATGAGATAGATAGATAAATAGATAGATATGATAGATAGATAGATATGAACGGATTGAGATAGATTATATATTGTGATAGATAGATAGAGAAGATATAGATAGATAGGAGTATAGATAGATAGTGTATATTGTGATAGATAGATAGATGATATATGAGCATATTGTGATAGATAGATGGATATGAGTATATTGTGATAGATAGATAGATAGATAGATAGATAGATAGATAGATAGATAGATAGATAGATAGATAGATAGATATGAGTATATTGTGATAGATAAATAGATGGATATGTGTATATTGTGATAGATAGATATGAACGGATTGAGATAGATAGATTTGAGTATATTGTGATAGATAGATAGATAAATAGATAGATAGATAGATAGATATGAGTATATTGTGGTAGATAGATAGATGGATATGAGTATATTGTGATAGATAGATAGATAGATAGATATGAGCATATTGTGATAGATAGATGGATATGAGTATATTGTGATAGATAGATAGATAGATAGATATGAGTATATTGTGATAGATAGATATAAGCATATTGTGATAGATAGATGGATATGAGTATATTGTGATAGATAGATAGATAGAGAGTATATTGTGATAGATAAATAGATGGATATGTGTATATTGTGATGAACGGAGATAGATATGAGTATGATAGATAGATAGATAGATAGATATATAGATAGATAGATAGATAGATAGATAGATAGATAGATAGATAGATGGATAGTATATAGATAGATAGAAAGATGATAGATAAATAGATAGATAGATGGATATGTGTATAGATTGAACAGATTGAGATAGATAGATAGATAGAACGGATTGAGATAGATAGATTTAGATAGATAGATAGATAGATAGATAGATAGATAGATAGATAGATAGATAGATAGATAAATAGATGGATAGATAGAATACTGAGATAGATAGAAATTCCTGTTGGTTCGATTAAATTCCTGAAATTCATCAAATATTTGATTTCCCTTTGTTATTTTTGGAATCCAACAGAGAAATTTCCAACAACCTCTTCATAAACAAAATATGTACAAGAGAGAAATGAACGGAGTGAGTTAAATACTGATAATCTAGCTCGTCAATATATTATGATAAACTGATCTATCTACATCTGCTAGCTTCATTGGAAGTCTCAACGATAGATATACATCACTTAAATAGGTATTTCATAACTTAAATTATCAAGACGTTTCTCCATGATCAAATTAGTATCGGCACGTTTTGGCTATAATAGCGATTCTCCTGTTGGTGGAAGTAATTCATGTTCCATTCCTGTGAGGAGACAAAATTTCTTTTCGACCGGAACCTGTAATTATTTATTTTAGAGAAGAAAATACAGGGATAAAATTTCAAACATAAAAAAATCAAACATGTCCACTAAAAGTAACTTTTATAGTACAGTGGAACGCCGTTCATTACAAACACATCGGTTCAGAAACTGGATTTTCGAATGAAAAACGTCTCCAGCGACAAACATCCGAGCTGACGACAATGTGGGTCAAAAAGACGAGAGTTATCGGCTAGAGAAGCGTTAGTTACGGTGCAGCTTTAAATGTTTAACGTGTATCAAGCATAGTCGGGTGGTACCAGGATGCAGAAAAGAGAATGAGAAGAAACCCCCATGACGAGAGTTACCGGTTGTATTTATGGAAGAGGGCTCCCCTTCCAAACAATAACATATTTCCTCCTTTCTCACAACCTTCCACCTACGACATTAACTCTCCTCCGTACGGAAAAATTAAGTTTTCGTCTCTATATTATTATTGTTATACAGTGTAACCCGGATATAAGAGACCCGGATATAAGAGAGATTTTCTCTGGTCCCAAATTAGAGCCTGTGTTAATGTATATAAAATAGACCAAACCCGGATATAAGAGAAACCCGGATATAAGAGAGATTTTCTCTGGTCCCAAATTAGAGCCTGTGTTAATGTATATAAAATAGACCAAACCCGGATATAAGAGAAACCCGGATATAAGAGATTTTCTCTGGTCCCAAATTAGAGCCTGTGTTAATGTATATAAAATAGACCAAACCCGGATATAAGAGGCTTCTTCCCCGGTCCCGACACCTCTCTTATATCCGGGTTTCACTGTATTATAAAATACTGAATGATTGGCGTAACTCTTCCAATATTTTTCTACAGTAAATTGAAGAGTACGATTTAAGAAAAGATAAAAGAAAAAAACACAATGATTGACAATGGTAAACAATATCTTTGGAAAATGTCTTCTTTAAGTTATATTTAAACAATTTTTCAAGTATAAAATATATATAAGTCTACATAAAATTGATATTTTCCGTTAGTTGATTAGTTACTAAGAGGAATTAATCAAACTACTTAGTCTAAACCTTATGGAACTCTCCTGTTATTTTGTTCACTCGCCCGGGTCGGGAAGTTAATAATTTGCTTACGTAACTATCCTCATGCGTTTTAAGTGTCGGTAGATTCAGAATATTTTTTTTTTCAGAATATGCACCTTAAGATGTTTGTCGAAACTACTGTCGTTAGTAATAAAATGTCCAGCAAGCTCCGTTGATGTCACATTATTTTGCTTGAAATCATACCTGTGTCCATTGAATCTTTTATGACATTTTTTCCGTTGTACAAGGTGAACAAGATCGCCATCTTATTAACCACGTTTCATTTGCATGCCTTCACGCGGTTGGCGTTTCATTCCTTTTGACGCGTTCATTAACAGTGCAGCCATTTTTCATTACAAGTCAAGGAACGTTTGTTCATTGATAGAGCATATAGGCGTGACAATGTGTCACCTCCTTATTCTAGGGTGAAACAGATGGTGTTTCTAACGCTACTGGCCATGGCTAGAATGATTATTTAGACGACGGGAATGGAGGAAATCTGGTGATGTGATCGCTACCCTAATTAGGATTTGATCAGATTCTTTGCACGTCAGCTCAGGATAAATATTAGAAGTGACAGAAAGCGGTTGGTATTAACAGATTTCAGCGAAAGGTGGGTAACTGGGGCGAGCCTGGTTCGCGTTAAGTGGCTAGCTTTGATTTTCTTTTTTAAGTTCCCCTAAGTCACAAGGGGGCGGTTTCCTGTGGAGCAATCCTCTGGTTAAGATAGACGCTTCTTCTGTTCATAAGTTAATGTAAATCGTCGTTTCCGGCTTCTCCCTACGATCCAAGACAAGATTTCCAACCTGTCCAGTTTGTTTTGGCTTGCGCTTTTCATCTCGATTGGGTTAGTTTTATTAATTTTCTAATGCCCAGATTGTTTTATCCTTCCCCTCCCTGAGAGAGAGAGAGAGAGAGAGAGAGAGAGAGAGAGAGAGAGAGATCCTCTTGTTTTTGTTGGAAGACAGAATTCAGCAGCAACTCATGTTTTTTGGGGTTTTTTTTAGGGGTTTTACTAACATCTTTCTTTTTTTTCAATTCGTTTTCTGGGTCATGATCTCCACCCACATAACATTGATAGAATTTTTATACAACTGTACATATTAGAATTTTAAGTCATGAGGTGTTTTGCAGTAACGTTCCTGTGTGTGTGAGGTATTTCATTGAATTAGAAACGAATGGTGACAAATAGATTCTTATGAGGTATGATTAACTTTTGACGAATGAATGGCTGAATCTGATTAGATAGGTATAAGATAGTGTCGACCAGATTTGACCCATCTCTCCTCTTTTTGCGGCCTTGTGCCGCAATTACTGTATTTAATAAGTATTAAATCATTGACAAGCAACGTTTGTACAAAGACATTTTTATAATCTTTTGTAGATTTATATACTTTTATTCTTGAAAAAAAAAATGTTTAAATAAAACTTGAAAACATTTGGCGGAAATATTGTTTAACATTGTCAAAATGCGGTTTTCTTTTCTTTTTCTTTTCTTAAATCGCGCTTTTCTCTTAATTATTATTATTATTATTATTATTATTGGGTTCATCTTCTTTCATGCCTTGAGTTTTTAGGTTAATATCTTGCTTTCGTAGCTTCTTCCAGCGTTGGGAGAAACTACCTCTACTAAAGTCTATACTCTCTTCAATTCCCTTATCTCCTAATATCTAAATACACTAACTTGCGCAGCCACTCGTATCCGAGGATACCAGTCTGGTAGGGCGGCTAGCTATTCCTCATTGCAGGCGTCTGCTCAGGTACATTTGGGTTTACTCAACATCCACAGAGCCCACATGGTTTATACTGCAGCTATGCTGAGCTGACCTTAGCTACATTTTCTGGGAGATAGCGGGTTATCTACCTGAACAAGACGAACACGTTTAAACCCTCGATCACGATGACTTGTGACTTCCTGCTAGCACAAACATCGACAGCTCCCAAGGATTCAGTTTTCCCAATTATACTCACAAGGCTTGGGCCAAATGGCTTTCAGGCACTTTTCAAATGTGTCGCATGCTGACTCGCCTCCTCCAGTCACCTTTTGGACAAATCGATCATGGTGAGTTTCAAACGCGGGTCTCATGGTCAGAAATCGAAAGTTCTAAACACTTTGCCACGTGCTCCTATATGTCTCTTTTAACGGATCCACACACCGAATTATATTATTATTATTATTATTATTATTATTATTATTATTATTATTATGGGTTCATCCTTTTTTGTGTTAGATTTAATGACATTCATTGACGTTTTGCATGAACTTGTGCGCCAAGTAGTGTTGTAAAAGTTTAAATAAACAATCGTCTGGGGTCTAGGAACGGATTAATCAATTTGACATTGGGGAAAATATTTTCAGTTTACGAACATTTCGAGTCACAAATAGCCTTCAGGTACGAATTAAATTCACGAATCTAGTTCCCAATGTAATAAGAAATTAAATTGAAGAGGTCCGAAGCGTGCAACGACGGAAACGTTGTAACAAATATGGCGACAAAGATGAGGACAATGGTTAGAATAATGTAAATAGTGTACATAATACCTCATCTCAGAAATATAGACAGATATGAAATTAAGTTGGATTAAAAAAAAAAACATTTGTATAAAGATGTAGTTAGATGGAGAGACAGATAGGCTGTTACTTGGTTGATTTTGTTTAGCCGCATATCGACCTCTATGGGTTATTTAATGCCGGAATCTAAATTCTTTGTACAATTTTTTTGTAAAAATAATAATAGTTTTAGTGAAACAAGTCTTAATAATTAACCTATAGCTGGGGGCAGAAGAGGTGGATTCATAATTATCCTAAGTGTATTTGCGCGTAAGTGATTATAACGAAGCAAATGGGAATTGGAACTCAGTTCTCCGGCTCTCAATTCCGAGCCATTTTCCATTACATCACCTGCAAACCCAAGCTTACTGTCACTGATATTCGCAAGCGGCCACCCATCTATATACTTAGTACTCTTGAAGTTGCATGTAGGTTTCTATGAAAGAAATAAGTAAGGGATAAATAAGTAGATGTGTATAAATGTTGCACCTAGAAATGCGAGATACATTTATAACAGCGAGCCAGGCCGATATAAACAGAGACAGATATATGAACATGTCTAAAACTAGACAGAAACAGGCGGATGACGTGATAATTATATTTACAAGATGTTTATTCTATGACACAGACACGAATAGACTTATAAAAATATAACTGATCAGATAGAGATTTGGCGTTCAAGTGCGATATCTCTTAAAGATGTAAGTGATCACTGCTCGCCATAGATAGGTTATGATGTTGTATTGATGATGAGTTTGCCTTACCTGAAAATATTTCTTCTTTTCTATATATAAAAGTTAGTTACCGCAAGGAAAGTTGGCTCCCTCTGACGCGCCAAGAAATTTTTCTCCCCGGAATCGATCCTTCAAATCTACAAATCAACCATTCGCCCTCGCATGGAGTATTGCTGCCATATATCGTCTAGAGCCCCTTCTGTTTGCCTCAGGGTTCTCGATAAGATCCAGAGACGGATATGCAATATAATTGGCCCTGATCTGGCATCTCGTCTGCAGTCAATCTTTCACAGACATGCCGT